CCGCAAGGGCCTCTTCGCAGCAGAGTCTGCAGTCAAGGCCGAGGGGCCGCCCATAGTCCCTCTCCAAATAACGAAACGCAGCCGAACGGAGGAGGCGTTTCAGGAGGCAGGGGGGGGGCAGCGCGAGGGAGACATCTTCACCCAAGCCATCAACGAGCATGCTGAAGCTCACCATCTCCCACCCAAGACGCTCCACCGAGAGCCCGAGGGCCCCCGCGGGCCTCCGAATCATGCGCCAGGGAAGCAGGGGGCCCGAGAAACCCGCAGCCCAGGCGCTGCGCAGCCCAGCCAGAGACAAGCCAAACTGGTAGGCCCCCACCAGGCTGGCCCAAATCTCGTTAGACCACCTCACAAAAGGGGCGACCGCGGCGCACCAAGTGGGGCCGGCGGCAAACGGCAAAGCTGCCGCGAGAGATCCCCCGCTAACAGACGGCTGCAGAAAACGGCCCATGGCACGTCTGAGCGTGAACAGCTCGTGGTCCGAGGTGCCGTGCACGTCGCGCCCGTGGGCGCGGCTGGCGATGGGGCCCCGTCGGGGAGACTCGGCGCGGGTGACGACCAACGGTTTTCTTGCGACGGGACAGACGCTCAGTCTGCCTAGAAAACTGGACACAACGAACCTTGATCCTCCCTCCTCGACGGGACACGCGACGGGGCCTGCCAGCGGCGTCGTCGATGCCCAGGTTGACAGCAGCGTCGCACGGCGCTCCACCCACGGTGCAGTCGCAGCCCCCTGGCAGGACAGAGTGGAATCGTCAATGTAGATCTTTAAAGAGACCGATCTTGGCAGACTGAGCTCGTCCAGGGCAGCTCAGCTTAAGACGCGAATGGAAGTCGCGGAGAAGCGGCTGCCTGCCACGATGCCTTGCCGCGCAAACCTGCCCCCCACGACCCTGCTGCTCATGGCGATGTAGCGACAGGCGCGGTAGGCCACGTCACAAACTCCAGCGATCTGCATGGGGAACCCGCGCTGGTGGCATCGCTGGAGTGACAAGTCTAAATCAACCATTCGCAAAACTTCCGAATATCCCAAAGAACCGAGCTTGAGCACGAATCGGATGAAACAGGCTTCTCGCTTCTCACGCACGACCGCCAGACCGCGTCCACGCCGGAGGCGAAGGGGCCAGCCGCGAAGAAATCAGGCGCGCGAGCCGCTTCCCACCTGCAGGCATGATAACGACGGGCCCGTGCCCAGAGACGATAACCAGACGCGAAAAGCCCGATGGGGCGGCGACCACCGTCGGGCTTGGCAAGCACGACGAGCAACAACACCCGCATCTGCATCGGCATGAGGCCTGACGTCTCGAACGCGGCGATCTTCCGTGTGAGAACGACGAGGGCCTGATCCGACAGGCGCTGGAAGTTGCTGACATGGCAGCCGCCGACCGATGCCGCAGTGTGCTTGGGGAGCGATCGAGACACGCGGCGGAGGCCGTCGGGGGTGAGCTCGGGCAGCGGGTCGTGAACTTCAAACCTGCCTACCGCTGGCGGGTAGGTCTGAAAATCCTCGGCGTGCCAGAGATCCGAAAACTTGGCGCATTCAGAGGCGAGGAGGGCCTGGGGGGCAGAGACAACTTCCCCATTGGCGTTAAGAGTAACGGGCGATGTCCAGGCGGGGGCCCCCTGGCCACGCCACGGGCGCGACGAGCTCCTGACGCAATCTTCGTTCTCAGCTAAAGAACCCATTTCTTCTGATCTTCATTACGGGTATCCTGCTCGGCCACGACTTGGGCCTGGGAGACCGCGTCGGGGGCAAAGTCGGGCTCCCCAGAGACAATCGCCAGGCAAGGGGGGGGGGGGGGCAGGGGGTCACAACATCCTGACGACGCTGCAGCAGAGCAGATGCCTCGCCGCTCCACTCACCAAGCCTGACGGGCGGGTTGAAAAGCTCGGTAGCCGTGCCCGAGAGGTGGCTGAGCCGCACCCAGCTGTGCTCGGGGGCCGCGTTGTAAGCTCCCGAGAGCCCGGGCAACGCGTTGCGCGATCCGCAACGGAGAGATGGGCCTCTTCAGCCGACGCCCCAAGGGAGTGCAGCTGCAACCATAACCTGAGACCGTTGCTGAGCCAGCGCAGCTGCGAAGCCGGGCGAGAGGTGGGCGACGCCCCATCCATCGTCGCCTTACCTGGCTGCAACGCGCTGGTAAACTCCCTCGAGCCCTGTCTCGGCAATGTTCGCCCAGTGTTTGTATATGGTGTCAAAGTGATATTGGGTCCGATCCACATCCCCATTCTCGGCCGCAGGAAGGGCTCGGGAGGCCATCCTACCGAGCAGCTCCCACTCAGAGGGGGGGTCGGGGCAGGGCCCAGAGGGTCGCCGGGGCGGGAAAGGGGGGGGGGCATCTGAAAGCGAGGGCTTTCAGGGGGGCCAGAAAGGGGTGGAAGGTGAGAGAGAGAGAGAGAGAGAGAGAGAGAGAGAGAGAGAGATGCGTCGCTAACTCCGAATCGCTCACTATCTTGAAGCTTTTGATGGCCTGCGCCAATCTCGAGCAGCACATGTAGAAGTCTTGCATATTCACGCCCCCCGAGTTGCGAAAAATGCCCTGGATGCCGTCAGGATACGCAATATTCGCACCCATCCGCCTGTGGATGGACGTGCCAGCCAGCACAGACGGCTCCGTGTTGAAGTCCACTCCGACAAGGAACGGCACGGGCAAGCTCTTGGCGCGTGCTGCTACACCCGCCAACATGTCCTGATTGAAATCGCCTAATCCAGCACAGTCCTGCAGGTAAGCACTGACGCAAAACAAATGACGCCTGACCTGGGAGGTGGACGAGGGCTCCGAGGGCCCAATGTGTCCATATAGTGGGCCCCAAACCGGGGTGGTGCATACCCAGGAAGGAACCAGCCAAAACTCCGACCCCAGCCGAAGGCCCCCTCCAGGGTCCACGGCCCCTGATTCAAAAATGGCTTTCCACCCGTTTCGCACACTCCAGGCCGAAGCCTCCCTGAGCTCTTCAGCTGAGATCATCTCGTGCTCCTGCACAAGCACGACGTGCGCCGAGGTAACTCCGAAGAGCTTGGTGATACTGTTCCAGCTCGTGCAACCGGCCGTCGCAATCTCCAATTCGATAGACTCTGAGTTTCCTAAATCCCCGTGGCCCCGATGACGCACAGACGAATCCCGTGGGACATCCAAAACCGGGCAGGAGGTAGGGAGCCTAGGGTAAGAGGAGAGCGACTGCTCGGCCACAGCTGGGCTAGGAGTGAGAAGGTGCCTTGGGCGGCGGGGCCGCGGGCGCCATGGGCGGCGCGGCCGCTGGGGCAGGCTTGGTGGGCGCACGAGCGACAGCCTGCCCAGCCTGCTCTCGGGCGTTACTAGCAGGCTTGGCAGGTGGTGCGGCGGCGGGGGCAGGCGTTGGCGGAGCGGCTATGCCATCTCCTAAGGCAGCCGACGCTCCCGCTCCCTCAGAGGCGGCCTCAACTCCAGGTCCAGGCTGGCGACGATCAGCTTCGGTTTGCCGTTTCATCTTCAGCCTCTGCGTCTGCCCCTGATGGCTCTTCTTGAGCTCGACACACTTGGCCTGGACTTCGCCGACCAAAGTAGTAGTGAAGGAGGTGATCTGCTCCGACAGCTGCAACTTGCGGAACTCTGCTTCCTTGAAGTCTTGCTCAGACAGCTCCTGGTGCTCTCCGAGGCCGAACATGTCGCCATCGTCGAGGACGCATGACGAGAGTTTGCCCTCGAGTGTCCTGCTGACGCAGCGCAGGCGCGTCAGCTGCTGCACCAGCGGCCTGTCGAGGAGCATCTCTGGGCGGCGGCACTGAAAGGTGCAACTCCGAGATGGCCTTCTTATACTCAGCACCGTACCGCTCCAAATCCTGCAAGGTGCTCTCAAGATCGGAGCGCTGCTGGGCCAGCTCCCGCTCGAGATTGTGCACTTGTTCCAAATCGCGGTCCAGCTTCTTCTCTAAGCGCTGGATCTCCTTGAAAACTACATCTGCCCTCTGCTGCGGGGGCAAAGGCGCCTGCTCCATCTGCGCCACCTTCTACTGAGCCATAGTGAGGAAGGAGGCGTCGCCGACCTTGGCGCTGAGCTCGATGAGCTGCTGGAACTCACATTTTGTGTTGCCGAACTGGTGACTGCGGAGCGACCTGGCAGGGGCTTACCCGAAACTGCATCTGCTGCGGCACGACGAACATAAGCAGCTGCAGCTCCACGTGGCAGTCCACCATTGGCCGAGAGGTCACGAGAGACGGGTCCCTTCGAATGCTTACCACAATGTTTGCACCACTTGTATTGCCACGCGTTCTTCTTGCAATGGCAACGTCCCCAAGTCCAACGTTGAGACGAAGAATTGTTACCACAGCGAGACTTGTCACCAAGGGCCATCGCAGTGTCGCCGTGAAGGAGATGGGGTGCCTCCGAGCCACTCTGGCCCGCGAACACCCAGCCGCTCTGAAGATCGGTGTCGCATGCACAAAAAAATGATTGTGCCAGAACGGCTAGGAGCATGATGAGGAGGAATGGAGGAGGAGGAGGAGGAGGAGGAGGAAAAGGAGGAGGAGGAGCAGGCGAAAGAGGAGGCGGCCAGTCCTCCTCCCCTGGCATTGCCCCTAACTCCAGGGGCGGGATTACCCTGGCCCTGGCCCTCCGACGACTGGCAATTTCTCGCCCCGCCAGCCGCCGGACTTCTCGAGCCCTTCTCCAGGAGCTGGTGAACGCGGCTGGCGCTTGCGCCCTGCAGCGAGGACCTCTGAACGCCCAGGCTTGGAAACGGCTCCCAGACGCCAGAGGATGAGAACTGGTACACTTGGGCAGCGGGGTTTTCGAGCTGCCAGAGCCAAAAGGCAACTACTGGGAGGTTTTCGTCGGAAGGGCTGCAGAGAATTCAGCCCAACTTGGGGGCTGCTGCGCCGGATTCGGCCGCGGATTCAGCGGGATGGCGCCGGATCGACCATGATTTAGCCGAATGAAGCCGGACGGAGTCGGACCAGGGCAAAGTCAGAATGTGCCCTCCCAAGAGTTGCATCCGAACCAGAGGACTGCGTACCGTAGTCCTCCACGCAAGGGTGCTCGAGGTGCCGGTCGGGGCAGTGGAGCTGGTTGTCGGCGTGGGTGAAGAGCGCAGTGGGGGAGCCGTCCTTCCCGTTCCGCCGACGCCAGCGTCAACCATGAACCACGGCGACGGCAGACGACGATAACGACGATAGACGATGACGATGACGGCAAGCGGCAGCACGGCATCGAAAGGACGAAGGCGGCGACAGAAAGCAAAAGGCGGCGGCGGCGAGACGGCGACAAGACGCCGCGGACCCACGTCTGATAGCCCCGGGGCCCGAGCGGTCCCAGGAGTAACGCAACCGAGGAAGACGTAGGGTTGAGCAAATCATGTCGTCGGCGATCTGGGTCTGGCCTGGGCCCGAGATGGCCCCAGGGCCAGAAAGCCGCCGGCAAGGAGTCAAAATCGAGAAACATCTGCTGGGACTGAACACAAAAATACCGTCGGAGATCTGACAGCGGTGCTCTTGTTGCAGATGATGGTGATCCGCTTCCACTGGCCTAGACGCCGTCGGCCAGAGGCCGAAAAACAAATTGTCGGCGAAGAAGATCGGCCAGAAATCGCCAAAGTTCATGTCCGGCCGGGATCCCCCAAAAATGGTAGGACCCCAAAGTCAACAACAAGCAGCCAATGCTCCGCCTCCTTTTCCTCCTCCTCCTTCTCCTCCTTTCCTCCTCCTCCTCGTCCTCGTCCTCATCCTCCTCATTAGCCTCCTCCAGCTAATAATCATCATCATCATCATCATCATCATCATCATCATCATCATCATCATCATCATCATCATCATCATCACCATCATCATCATCATCATCATCAGCATCAGCATCAGCATCATCATCATCATCATCATCATCATCATCATCATCATCATCATCATCATCATCATCATCATCATCATCATCATCATCCTTCTCCCTCCTCCTTCTCCTCCTCCTCCTCCTCCTCCTCCTCCCTCCTCCTCCTCCTCCTCCTCCTCCTCCTCCTCCTCCTCCTCCTCCCCTGGAAGTCAAAAACAAGCAGCCAAGCACCCCAATGAAATCAAGCGGCTGCGTCCTTCTGCCCCCGCCGAACCGCCGGGGCCGGCTCGGCCTCCTCGACGGATGCGACCTCAGGGGGGACGGCCGCGTCAGCCGCGACTTCCCCCCGGCGACCGCCGCATCTCCCTCATATGATGTCCAGAAGGAGGAGGAGGCGGAGGAGGCGGAGGAGGAGGAGGAGGAGGAGGGGAGGAGGAGGAAGAGGAGGAGGAGGCGGAGGAGGAGGAAGAAGGAAGTCGGAGGATGAGGAGGAGGAGGAGGAGGAGGAAGAAGAAGAAGAAGAAGAACATCGGATGATTTCCAGAAGGAGGAGGAGGAAGAAAATCGGACCAGGAAGAATCCTAGATCTCCGACAATGTGACTGTTGTTGTACCGCTGTGTCTTTGTTGCACTTCGGCCATCGGGGGCCGGTCGGACCATGAGGGAACAAAAACGGGGACGAGAACGGCCCCCTGGAAGTGGTCGGGGCTTCTGGGGCTGCGGATTGGAAACGTGGTGGTGGCGCATGTCAGGGCCAGGAGGAGGCGGAGAGAAGTTGGGGAGAAGGGCAGCGAAACGGAGGAGGAGGGAGAAGGAGGATTGCGGGCCCCGCCTCTGGTTGTAGAGTAAGAAGAAGAGGGGGGAGAGGAGAGGGAGGAACCAGAGAGGAGGAAGGGCATGTCAGATGGGAGGGACGGGATACCCCTCGGTCCGAAGAAGTAGGTAGAACCGTGAAGTAGGAAGGCGTTGGAAGTAGATTGGATCTCCGCCCGCCTCCAGAAGAGGAGGGAAGAGGGAAAACCACTCGATCATTGAAGTAGGAATGCGTATAACGACTGATGGGTGAGGCAGGATTGCCGAGTAAGGTATGGGCTAAGCGGACCTGCTTCCACTTCTCGGCAGGGCTCGGCCTGAGCAGTGCCTTTCGTGTTCGTGCTGCGCTCGTGTCGCCCCTTTCCGTCGACGTCCCGCCCTTGCTGCCAGAAAGCGAGATCAGAACGAAACGCTCCACGACATCGCCAAGACACCCTTTCGCTCGGGCCCTGTTCTTCGGAATGGCCAGCAGAGAAGCAGTGGACACCGCGGCACCTTGCAAAGTCGGGCAAGGGTCTTCCAACGACGTGCGCCCCACAAGAGACGAGGGTCGGCGGCGAGCCCGATGGGGGCAGCGAGAAGGGGCGGAACCTCCTCTCGACGAGCGCGTTCCACACCGCGCAAAGTGGCTACTCGCAAAAAGCCTGGATCCCCCGCGGGGGATCTGCGATGAATGACACCAAAGCAGTCAGGTGTTTTTGTTGACGTTTGCGAGTAGGTACTTTGCGACCATCGGGCAAGGCGAAATGGGGGGATATCAAAGGGGGGGGTGAGAATCAGCTCACGTAGCTGATTTTCCCGCCGCCTCCCGGCGCCAGAGGCGGCCATGTGTCGAGGAATGGGCCCCTCGGCGGGGCCGAAACCAGCTGCATGCAGCAGATTTCGTAACACCCCCTTTCCCGATCCCCCCCTTTCGTCCGGCCCGAGAATCATGTTAAGCCGGGCCTGTCCCACTACGGGGGGATATTCGACGAAAAATAAAAAACACCCCCCCAAAAAACACACAAAAATATCAACAAATACTCCAAAAATAGTCCCCAGACTATGTTTGGAGCATTTTTATTATTTTTGCAGTATTTCTAATTTTTCGTCGGAAATCCCCCTGTAGGGGCACACGCCCGACTTAAGAGTAGTGGAACGCGCTCGGCGATCCTCAGAAGGCTCGGGACGGGACGCACGAGGGCGTGCCGGTACGATGCTTCCTCCTCGGAGGCGCGCGCACGACCCGAACCTCTGGTGTGTAACCATGTTGTCGTGTGCCGTTTCCCGAGCGGTATGGCCAGAGTTAAGTCGGGCGTGTCCCCCTGCAGGAGGATTTTGGGCGAAACATGAAATAGATACTCCAAACATGCCCCCCCAAAGGGCAAAAAGAGTCAACAAATCGTCCCCCGACTATTTCTGGACTATTTTTGAATATTCCCCCTGTAGAAGGACAAGCCCGACTTCAGGCTAGAAAGCGCCCGCCACGACGCATATACTATAACCTTTCTCCGTGCGCGCGTCGCCCCTGGGGGGGAGGGGGGCGACGCACATGCAGCATTGGTAGATTGGTCTGGCGCCAGCGGGAGTCACCCAGGCATCTGAGGAGTTGTCAAAGCCTCTAAGAAGGCCTGCTGAGAAGGCCGATGGGCTTCTGAGAGGCCCCGCCGCCTTCAGGGGAGGCCTTTTTCTTCTGACTTTCCCCCCTCGCTCGCCGCCGAGAAGGAGGAGGGAGGACATGACTTCCACAAGTTCTGCAGCTCTGTACAATGCCCGAGGGGGTCCTGGGGCTCTGAGGAGCTAATCCCGCTCCTCCATGCCAACCGCTGCCTCCTTCTCGTTCTCCTCCTCCTCCTCCTCCTCCTCCTCCTCCTCCTCCTCTTCCACCTCCTCCTCCTCCTAATCCTCTTCCTCCTCCTCCTCCCTCCTCCTCCTCCTCCTCCTCCTCCTCCCTCCTCCTCGTCGTCAACGCTGACGACGTCGACACGAACACCCCTCCACTCCTCCTTCTCCTCCCCCTCCTCCCTCTCCTCCTCCTCCTCCTCCTCCTCCTCCTCCTCCTCCTCCTCTTCCTCCTCCTCCTCCTCCTCCTCCTCCTCCTCCTCCTCCTTCTCCTTCTCTGGTCCTCCTCCCCTTGACCTTGCCCCTCCCAGATTTTGCTGCTCATCCGCCTCCACCTCCTGCCGCTGCTGATACTCCTGCTTCTCCTCCTCGTCCTGCTCTCTTTCTCCCCCTCCTCATATTTTCTCTCCTGCTCGTCCTGCTCTCTCCCCGGTCCCATTCTGCTCCCCCTCCTTCATTATCCTCTGCAGGTTCCTCGCTCCCTCTCCTTCTCCCCCGCATCATCCTCCTCTTTCTCCTGCGCCTCCTCCTCCTCCTCATCCTTCTCCTCCTCCTCATCCTCCTCCCTCATCGTGATCCTCCATCAACCTGTCTCCTTCTCCTCCCTCATCTTCCTCCTAGGCATCCTTCCCCTCCTCTTGCCGCCCCCTCTTCTCCAGCGAGCGCAGGATCGACAACCACGCCGGACGACAGACCATCGAAGACGACGACAGACACGACGACGCCGACTCCAGCGCTGCACGACGACGACGGCAACACATGGGCAGAGACGATGATCCCGACATCCGCCGAGCTCCTTGCCTCAATCCTCGGCCCCTTTTTCGCCACGGACCCAGTTCCAGACTTATGTTGCTCCCATCGTACTTAAGGACCACATCCCAGAAGTAATTTCGAGCACCCAGAAAAGTGTCGAAAGAGTGTCGAAAGAGTGTTTCCCAGGGCCCGACACGTGAAAACCCTCAAGTGTTGGGGTGTTTTCTTGGTGTTCGAAAGTCATTGTGGTGATCAAGGCTAAAGTAGGTTGGAACATCGTAATTCCAGACCGCTTCCCCGGGGCAAGTTTTCGCCACGAGCCCCACAAGTGCTGGGGCCCGACAAGGGGCCGCGCGGCCCGACGAAGGTCTCCGAGGGCCGAGAGGTCGAGGAGAGCCCGCCGGCTGGACCAACACACGCCGGAGCTCTCAGGACGCCGCAGACGCCGACGCCGCCGCCGAGGCAGCAAGTCCCGACGACGACGCACGCCGCACGACCTGCGGGACCCGCAGCAGCAGCCCGAAGGCGGCGGCGGCCACCGCCCAGCGCAGGCGCCCGCGGCCCATCTCGCGGAGCTCCCCTTGAGTCGGGCGCGTTCCCCTACAGGGGGATTTTCGACGAAAAATGAAGAAGGCTGCAAAATACTCAACAGATGCCCAACAAATGCTCGAAACATAGTCCCCAGACGCTGTTTTGACTATTTTTGGATTGCGCCCCTGCAGAGGGACAGGCCCGACTCAAAGCTCCCCCCGCCGCCCGCGCGGCGGCGCCGCGCGGTGCGCCGCGGCGCCCCCGCGGCGGGCCGGGCCTCTGCGCACCCCGCGAGGGGCCACGCTATAGGGCAAGGGGGCCTGGGCTGCCCTGGCACGGCAGGTTCGTGCCGCGTCGACCCTGGCGTTAAGTCGGGCGTGTCCCCCTACAGGGGGATTTTCGACGAAAGATTAAAAATACCCCCAAAATGTTCCAAAGATGGTCAACAAATACTCCCAACAAAAGTCCCCAGACTATTTTTTGACTATTTTTGACTTTCCCCCTGTAGAGGGACAGGCCCGACTTAAATTTGGAGTCCCGGAACGGCGCGGTGCAAGACCGCACGGTAACCTCGAGATCCCCCAGGGCCTCACCGCGCGGTCCGTCCGCGCACGCCTTTGGGGCCTCGGATGCCCCGGTCGCCCAGGGCGGTCTCGGAGAAGAGCCCGAGTCCCAAAACCGGGCGGTGACCCCGAATCCCCACCGACTCACCGCACGGTGTAGCCACCACCCCGTCTGGGGGCCCCCGATTCAACCGTGAGCATTTGGCCCTCTCCGGAACGCCCGATCGTTCGACGTCGACCGATTCTGGGTCGCCAGCGGCGTTCAGTGTTGAACGCCGGCGGCGGGGTCGCCGCCGGTGGACACGACGCGAACCTACCGTACGCAACACGCACCCGCCAGCGTGTTGATACGGAGCCCTGGAGCTCCACACGTAGGCTGAAGGCGTACAGTCAACCCGTATCGTAAGGATGCGCGGCAAGGATGCAAAAAAAGCCTTGGAGGGCCACGTGAAAGCTTCTCGAACGGGGTTGGCCAGCGGGAGTCGCTGAGGATGGGCCGAAGGGGCAAGGATGCAAAGTTACCCCTGGCCATCCCTCGGACGTCCATTCCCTGTGCTTTTTTCGGTTTCGTGCGTGTTTGTTTCGCTAACTGATCAAGGATGCTCCTCGATGGTCCTCGCCGAAGGAACAGTGCACACGTCCGAGCCGAAAAAATCAAGGATGCAAAGGTACCATTGGAAAGGCTGCCGATCCTGACCATGCGGGTTGACTGCAGCTCCGGCGCGGGGCGATCGCCCAAATCCGCGGGCCAGCGCGTGCCGAGCCCACACGCCGCGGGCTGGCACGGACGCGTTGGGCGCGACACGTGCTGCGCCTCCACTTGGGTGCAGCAGTGCCTAGGGGAACAACGAGTGGCATAAACATAAACGCTCGAAAGTCCGCGGCTCGGACTTTCGAGTGTTTGTGATTATGCCACTTTCGCGGACTCCGCGCGGATTTCTCGGATCGGCGCTGGACCCCCCTCCCTGGCTCGCGGAGCGCGCCAGGGGCGGCGCCGGAGGCGCCGCCGGGAGGCCCCAGCGCCGATCCGAGAAATCCGCGCGGACCTCCGAGTTGGTATGTTTATGCCACTTTTGGTCCCTCTACAATCAAAAACCCGAATAAGGACGCGCGGTAAGGACGCAAGACCCTTGGAAGACGAAGTTGGGATATTTGGGGCGGCGGACGACGAAAACCTCAAGGACGCAAGAGCAAGGAAGAGCACGGACGCAAGGGTACCCTGAGCAAAGTCGCGCGTCCTTACTAGGGTTTTTGACTGTAGTGCAGCCAAGGGAGGCCAAGCTTAAGGAGGGGGGGGCATCGCTGTCGAGCTGACGCTACGCCGCCGAGCGGATGCCGAGTCCGCACGGTCCCGAACGGTTGGGGAGACCGGGCCCCACGTCGGCGATCCGTGGGCGATCCATGGGCGAGGGAGGGCCGATGCGTCCCTCAAGGGGCCCAGGGACACACAGATCGGAGGTTGGGGGGTGAGATCGAAGTGGAACGGAGACCCCCCCTACCGGGAAATCGATTTCGGTTTCGTGTTCGTGCGTGCCGTGCGGGCGAGGCGAAGCTGCGTGGGCGGGCGAGAGGAAGTCTCCTGTGGCTGAGGCGCGGCTGGACCAAATGTCTCCCTTCCGGGCGGCCGGGGGCCCGCGGTGTCCCGCCGGTGTCCCGCTGGTGTCCCGTGTGGCTGAGGCGCGGCCGGACCAAATGACTCCCTTCCGGGCGGCCGGGGGCCCGCGGTGTCCCGCCGGTGTCCCGTCGGTGCCCGTCGGTGTCCCGATAATGATGATGTTGATGATGATCATGATGGTTGTGTTGATGGTGATGATGATGACGATGATGGTGTCCTGGTGATGATGATGATGATGATGTTGATGATGATGAGATGACGATGATGTTGATGTTCTGCCCGTTGTTGTTGATGATGATGTTGGTAATGCTGATGCTGCTGATGATGATTATGGTATCCCGATGATGATGATTATGACGGTGGTGATGATGATGGTGATGGTGATGGTGTACCGATGATGATATTGATGATGATGTTGGTGATGATGATGCTGCTGATGATGATGGTGTCCCGATGATGTTGATGATGCTGTTGATGAGATGATGATGATGATAATGAGCTGATGATGATGGTGTCCCGATGTTGTTGATGATGTTGACGATGACAACGATGGTGACCATGATGGTGTCCCGATGATGATGCTGATGGTGATGATGACGATGGCTGTGTCCCGCTGGTGATGTTGATGATGTTGTTGATGATGATGAGATGACGATGATGTTGATGTTTCTGCCCGTTGTTGTTGATGATGATGTTGGTAATGATGATGCTGCTGATGATGATTATGGTATCCCGATGATGATGATTATGACGGTGGTGATGATGATGGTGATGGTGATGGTGTACCGATGATGATATTGATGATGATGTTGGTGATGATCATGCTGCTGATGATGGTGGTGTCCCGATGATGTTGATGATGCTGTTGATCATGATGGTGATTAAATGATGATGATGATTAAATGATGGTGTCCCGATGTTGTTGATGATGTTGATGATGACAATGATGGTGACCATGATGGCGTCCCGATGATGATGATGATGATGATGATGATGATGATGATTATGATGATGATGCTGATGGTGATGATGACGAAGGCTGTGTGCCGATGATGATGATGATGATGATGATGACGACAGTGTCCCGATGACGATGAAAATGATGGTGTTGGTGATGATGATGATGATGATGACGTTGAATGTTGGATCGATTGTGATATCGGTAGTGAAATCGATAGTGAGACCGAATGTGAGATCGATTGTGAGATCGATAATCAGATCAATTGTGAGACCGAGCGAAGGAGATGTATCGAGTGAGATCGATTGTGAGATCGATCGAGTGAGATCGATCGAGCGAGACCGATAGGTGGTCGTATAGGTAAATACACAACTAAAAGGGTTCCCCGCATTTTCCCATATCTTCTGGGCTTCTGTCTTCCCTCCCACTTCCCATCTTTCCCCACATTTTCTGGGGAGTCGACGATTCATTGTGTCTGTGTGTTCTTCCCCCTCCTGAGAAAGAGGGTCGATGCGTCCCCGCCCGAGCGTGCGGTCAGAACCCCCCTCTGGCCGGCGTGCCGCGGCGGCGGCTCCGGCGACACGCTGTGCCCCCGCTCCGCGGCGCGGGACGCCCCCGACTGGCTCGGGGTACTGACGCCTGGACACTGCTGGCGGCGCGCACCGGGGGGCGGGGGGGAGGGGGGAAGGCGTCTTCTGAGAAGGAGGCTGCTTCTCAGAGGGCGCAGGCCCTGCATTCATAGAGAGGCCGCGCCTTTTCAGAAGCAGCGGTGTCTCTGAGAAGCCTTCCCCCCTCCCCCTGCCCCCCCCCCTGCGTGTGGCCGACACGGGGACATGTATACCATCATCGTGCTACGATGAGGGATGCCAGATAAGAAAGAGAAAAATTGTTTCTTCTGGCCATGGCAAGCCTCCGCCATGAATCGGAAGAGAAGCCCAACAGATACAGCCCCATCCTGAGCCCAGAACGGTCTTCGTTACAGCGCCTTCGCTGTGACGTGTCGTGTCCAAGCGTGGTGGGCCAGGTTGCGCACGGCGACAACACAAACGAACACCAGCCGGTCCGACGGCGAACCCGAAACCGACCGACAACTCGACAGGCCGAAAAAGCGGTCGGGAAGGGGTCGGGAAGGGCGCAGCGACGCGGCAGCGACAGGATAACCGCCCGAGCCGAACCAAGCCGACCGAAGGCAACCGAACTGCGACGCGACCGAACCAACCGAAGCGTGCTCACCCTTGGAGGGCCAGCGACGCGCTGAGCCAAAGTTCGCGACCGCATCCCCCCCTTTTGAGCAGGGACCGACCGTCCCGGCGTTCCTAGAAGCCTGCCACGACATGTTCTTAGAGCCCAAGAATGTTCTAAGAACAAAAATCTTCTAGAACATAAACCCGCTGTGTTAAAACAAGACAGTCCCAGCCAGAAATGTTCTTGGAACATCTCGTGCAGACCACAAAAGGTTCCTAATGTAGAGAACATTATGTGGTGGGCCTGTGAGCGAGCCAGGGCGATTCGCCACTACTTGACCCCTAACGTTGCCCCTGACCCGGCGGGCGCGCGGCGCGCGGCGCGCACGCGCGCGGGCCAACGGGCCCGGCGCGGCGCACTCGCGCGCGCGGGGCGCGGCTCTGTTGAAGCTCAGGGCCGAATGCCTGGCCTCTCGGGGGTGGAAAGGGAGGAGGAATGAGCGAAGGAAGGGCAGGACGGAGCTCCATTTCCTCGCCTCCTCCTCCTCCTCGTCCCCTCCCCCCTCCTCCTCCTCCTCCTCCTCCTCCTGTTCCTCACCTCCTCCCCTCCTTTTCCTCCTCTCCCATTTTCTCTGGGACAGCCAGCAAAGCAATACAACATTGAAACGCACATCCATATGTACACACCTGCGTGGCACATCTTCTGCCAGCCTGG